CGGGACGGAACGGGTTGGGACGGGATAGGACGGGACGGGACGATATAAAAGCAGAAATTACAAGGGAAACTTTGAACGAAGTAACGTTCTTTACTCTTCTGGATAACAACGATAACTCCTCGTCTTTTTCTACTTTCTTCTGATTTACTATAATACATACTGTTGCTTTATTTTTCTTTTTTCTATTTTGAAGTGAAAACTTCTTTAGAATGGGAGTGATCTGAAAAGTAAATAAACGGAAACGGAGCTATGTAACGAAGCTATGAAACGGTTGCCATACTAAATAATGAAAGAAAAAGAGACAAACATAGGATTTAGACTGCGAGGGAATGAGACGGAATATAGCTATACAGTTTTTCCTATTCTCGGTCTCCTCTTTATGCTATGCTTCGTAGTTATCGCTCCTGGTTGTATATGTGTGTGTTTGATGAGTGCGACTGCATACTACAAAGCGTAAACACACATATTCTTTCGATACTCGAAATGTTTGTAGGTAGGAGCGATAGAAGGNCAGAGATAAGCACGTAGGTATGCGACAAAAGTATAAGGTCCAAACGAACCGACGATCGACATAAACAAAGAAGGTGCGTGGTGTGTTTTTTTTACCAAACGTGTCATTTCTTTTCTATTTAAAAATGTTTCTATTTTATTGAAAAATTATTATTAAATTATTTATTTCGTAAATATTATTCTTATTAATGATTAGGAAATATATAGATTAAAATAATTGTATTGTCTGCAAAATTTTACAAAAAAAAAAATTGATTATAAGATACCTGAGAGAAAAAGAATTAGACAACATTGTAGAATACTTTTTTTATAAATATCCAAAGACATGTTTTTTAATTATAATGTTTGCGTATTTAGGAAATTTATACTAATTTTTCAATAAAATAGAAAAGTTTGTAAATACAAGAAACTCGATTACGAGACTTTTTAACGAGGCTTGTTTATGAGACTCTTCTACGAGGCCTAATTAAACACACCCTACAGACTTATCAGACGAGACCCTACGGACTTATCGGACGAGACCCTACGGACTTATCGGAAAAAATCTCACTACTTTATTGAAAAAACCTCACTACTTTTCGGAAAAAACCTCACTACTTTTCGGAAAAAACCTTACTACTTTTCGGAAAAAACCTTACTATAGAGGTGTTTACTACACTAACAGAGGTGTTTAGTTACCATGCATTTTTTAGTTACGAGAAGCAACTCGTCTCATTTCTTTGAATTGAGAACTTGCTTGCTGTGTAATATGTTATCTATTATAATATGTTTTCAATAAAACGTATAATAATTTTTGAATGTGATAACAATAATATAATAATAATATTATAACAAATAAACCCAACAATTATCCTATTCTTGATATTCTGCAGTCGTCTCTTTCTTTCGAAACTTAGTTTTTCGAAGGTTTCACTTCTAACATGTGTGATCTGCCCACATGATATTTTTTATTTCCTCCTAGTTAAATGAATCGAATTAACGTTCAACCAATTTATGTAAAATAATTTTTTTATATTTTCAACATCGAACCTTACTATAATATTAACTTTTATTTTTTAGAAATAAATAGAACTTCGTTATTTTTATACACCTTTTTCTTTTTTTACATTACTTCATATTGCTTTTTTTTTATCTTGCATCAATTTTTATTTAGGTCATTCTTATTATTTGTACTTTTTGTTTTTTTTTTGTATTTTTTTTTCTTTTTCTTCTTATTCTTCTGCTGTGTTTTTCTCATTAAATGAGTCAAATTAATATTTGATAAATTAAACCTGGCGAAATACTTCCATACGACAACGAACGTTAATAAAATAAATTGAATTAATTATTTTTAGTTAGTTTTTCCTTTTTTTTTTTTAATTAACTTCTACTACTTTTAACTAACATCGATTTTAATTATTAATTTTATTTTATTTTTTATATATGTATATTAAGTTTAAATATTTGCATATTTGAATTAAAATTTCTTTTTCTCTCTCTCTCTCTCTCTCTCTTTCTTGCTTTTATCTTTTTTATAATTGATAAGAATGATCGAGTGTAATGGGAAATATTCTAATCGCAAGTAAATAAGACGAAACTTCGTAGTTGTCGTCGTACGACAACCTTTGGCCCTTTGCTACTACTCACCCCTATGATTTCTTCTTTCTATTTCTCTTTCTCTCTCTTTTTACCTTTTTCACCTTCCAACCCCTCGTCCTGCTCTTTCTCTTTTCTTTTCACCCTCACCTAGTGGCGTGACGTATGGGCAGCATTTATAGCGCGAGATAGCACCGGCGGTTCTCGACAGCACCGGCAGATTTATCCTCCACGGTTATTGGAGTTATACAAAGGATTTTTCCAACCGATCCCATAAAGTATCTGTACTCGATGTCCTATTATTTACGCACTCGCCTACCACCCGTAGATGTAGACTCTGTCTTTCTTCTTTCTCTCTCTCTGTCTCTCTCTTTCTCTTTTTCTTTTGATTCTTATGGTTACTTCATCTTTTTTCTTTTTTTTTTTTTTTTAAATAAAAAAAATCTTATTTCACTTTATAAAAAGAAAAAAAGGATATGAAGGAAAAGGTGACGATCAGTGTAATCTTACAATTACAGTGTAATTTAAATGTATATTATTGAAATGTAAAAAATGAAAGTATTATATTTTGTAGTAATATTAATTTAATATTAATTTATTAATAGATAAATATTATTGTTATATATTATATATTAATTAATTTAATACGATAATAATATTAATTAGAAATAATTTAAAATTGTTCTAAAAATATGAACGAGTTACGTTTATTCTGCTTAAAAAAAGATACAAGTATTTGAGTGATCACAAAATTAATTTATTATATCATTTTAAATTATTCTAATATAAAAAATATGAACATTTAATATTCGCCAATGTTAACATAAATGAGAGTATAATACGATACGATCAAAATATTGATTTAAAATCATTTTTAATTAATATTAAAATACGAACAATTCGTATAATTTAATATTAAAACGAATATGAATAAAAAGATACAGGATAAAAAAATATTTATTATTTTTTTAAATGACTAAAATAAAAACATAAAATAAAGAAAAATAAAATACGAATAGTTAATATTCTTCAATGTTAGTAGAAACGAGTCAATCAACTTGAAAATACATATACATATGTATCACTCTATCCGTTTCAACGTACTGAAATCGCGTGTTCGAGGCTCGAAGAACGGCCCCCATAGTTTTGTTCGTTCGTACGTTCGTTCGGCATTAATGGATGACCGCTGTTCCCGTAGGTTTTATCGCTAGCACGGACCCGTATATATATATAGATATATAGATATATAGATATATATGTATATACGTTCGAAACGGTGGCCGTGAATGTCAAAATGGGCCGAACGGTTCGCATCGATCCACAATTTCCCCTCTCTTTTTCTTCCATTCTCTTTCTCTCTCTCTCTCTCTCGCTCTCTCTCATTTCTACTCTCGTAGACCAAGTGTACGATTCAGTCCGGCTTTAGTACTCACGTTCGATTGGCTTTTCGAATTTTCTCTCGGAATTTCGACTACTTTTTTTCCAACCATTTTGGTTTCCACCTCTTTTATTTTATTTACTCTTTCTTTCTCTCTCTCTCTCGTTATCTCTTTCACTCTGAAAGGATAGAAAGAGCGTTAAAAACGTTTTGTTGAAGTACGAAGAAAATTTCTTACGATTTAATTTACCTATTCTTTCTTTTTTTATTTATTTTTTATTATTATTTTTCCTCAAAAGTTCGTAGCTCTAAAATTTAACTTCACACAAAAATTTATCCCTTTCTCTCTTTTTCATTTCTTTTTTCTTTTTTTTTTTTCGATACGCAACAACCTTTTTACATATTTTTCTGTATTTTTTTTTTGTTGCCCTTTTTTTTTCTCTATCTTTTTACTTTTTCTCTGTCTTTGTTTTTGTCTTTCGTTTTACTCAACGTATATAAACCTAGTCCATTTTTTCTTTTCTCTTTAGCATCTCATCCTGAGTAGGGTAGCCGTATCTGCCTCTCGGTATGGTTATCGTACTACTAAACTAGCAAGTTTATAAGCGGACACGCTATTGCGAGAAACTTGCATGTACTTTGGTAGCAAGTCGCTCGTAGAAGAACTCAACGAACGAAAGCCAACGCGTTTCGCTTCGTCGAAGACAGTTCCGAGGGGATCGTTATACTCCTACGGGGTTCCCTCTTTCACCCTTTCTTTTTTTTTTTTTTCTTCATTTTATTTCTTATTATTTTTATTTTTTCCCCCTTTCTTGATTTTCTTTTTCACATGCCAGAAAAGCAGAATAATATGCGTTCCTTACGTTTCGTATTTTTCTATGATTGGATTTTTTTTTTTGTCAAAAAATACGTTTTACTTTTAATTTTCTTTTCTTTTTTTACCTCGATGAAAAAGATTTCTTTATTATTCTTATTGGAATAAGAGTTTAATCTATTTATATGGAAATCAAATTTACAACAATATTTAGAAATATATTGTTAATGTAAATCGTCGAGAAGATACAAATATGTTTTAATTGTAAAATATGAATTTAATTAGGTTTGATATTCCAATTTCAAATTTATTAATTTATTAAACTAATTGTAAATCTTATTATATATTATTTCGATATTTAATATAAATAACATATAAACAAGTAAATTATTTAACGAAATATAGGAGAGAGAGCTGGTTGATTAGTTTTGAATATCAACAAATATTGAGCCTAAGCATTCATTTTTAATGAATATAACCAACATTAATTAGTAATACATAGAAATACGTTTATGTATTACTGTATACGTCTCTTCTTATATCTCGCTTTTAAAGTAGTATGCGTATTATATGTATTTATAAAGAGTTTTTATTTATGAATCTAGGATTAAACTTATCTCCAATACAAGGTTACTTTAACAAGGAATAAGTCAACAAAATATATTCGTTGAAATATAAGAAATATTCTAACTGAAAATTGTCTTCTTTGTTATTCCTCGGTAGGACTCCGAAGGTGACACACCTCTTCACGACGCAATATCGAAGAAACGGGACGACATGTTGGCTCTCTTATTGGACCACGCTGCGGACATCACACTTACCAACAATAATGGCTTCAATGCTCTTCACCATGCTGCTCTTCGTGGAAATCCAAGGTGAGTGAGTGCTCCAGACATTTTATTCCAAACAGGACGTTAAACGTATATACCTTTTTTTCTTGCAGCTTGAATTTTTCTACCTCTTGTACAATTTTATTTTTTTACTTTTACTTTTATTTTCCTTTTTCTTTTCATTTTTACTTTACAATTTTTATATTTTGTAAAAGGAAGATATCGTAAATCGAATTTAATTTCGATTGTAGGAGGAAAATGAAGAAAAAAGGTAATTAATTTTGTTGTTATTTTTCAGCTCATCGAGATTAGGATTTTGTTTTTTGCTTTTAAAGAAAAACGTTGAAAAATATGTAACAGTTATTTGTTTAATTTTCGAACAATTGCACTTCGATCGAGCATCTTCGATTCGAAAAATATCTTATTATCATTTTATTGTATTTATTAAAGGTTTTCTTCGTTCTTCCTTTTTCAGTAGTATCTTACATTGTATGTATGTGTTCTAAGTGAGAGAATATCTCGGTTTCCGTTTCGTAAGAACGTGTACGTGACCTCTTCTGCTTCTGTTGCTTGCTATTGGAAATTTAATAAAGGTTAACGTGTACGTTTCTCTAACGTTAGGAAAAGAAAGATTACGAGAAGAGGAACGAGATTCCGATCGAAAACGTTTTCATTTCAAGCTTTCAGGTTTATCCACGCTTGCAAACGTATAGATAAATTTCTCTCTTTTTTTTTTTTTTATTTATTTTCATTTTATTTTTTAAACGAATTCGAACTATTGAATTTTTTATTAAATAACTCTTGTTAGCTTTTTATAAATATACCTATGTATATATAATTTTTAGTTATTTTTTATTATTCGATTTGTGTATATATATATATATATATATATATATATATATATATGTATGCACGATTAATTCATTTCTGCTGATTACGCGAGATATCTCGTAGCCAAGTTATATGCAAGTTTTATTTATCGTTGTGCCGACTACGAAATCGTATATCGTATAAATCATCATAAATGCCACTCAAAGGTTTATATTTGGAATTAATTAATAATAAAACTCTTGCTCTGTGATATAACATTCAGGGTTGCATGTTATTTCGTGTTATTTAAGTTCGACCCATAAGATTAGTTTCATGTCTCACGTGTTGTTTTAATACACACGGTGGTGTAAATTTTAAGCAATGTCCTTGTTCTTATTTCAAATAAATTTTAGGTATTCAATGCAATTTTTTTCATCGAAAATAAACATTGAAAGAAAAAAAGAAAAAGAACAACAAAATTGTACGTGTATTAATTATCGATCGAAGACAGAAGTTACGAATTATGATGAGATCATTGATATTCATGGTATGTTACTCACGTTATATGAAAACACATGTGTGTATGTATAATAATAATTATAATCGATTCTTGACACTGGAATATAATCTATCTAGTGGTTTACCTCCCTGTCCCTCCCCTATAATGGCCGTAATATCACCGTTCTGGCAAAACGATCGTCTTGACTGCTGCTACACGCGGTTTATGTGTTTTACGGTCCATGAGAGAGCAACTATGATATACCTATAGTTATCTACGCTAACGTTCCTTTCGAACGTCTGGTATAAATTAAAGGGAAAAAAGTTGTAAATGAAAGAGAAAGAGGGGTAGACAAAAAGTGAGTGAGAGATTTAAAGGGGGAAAGGGGAAGAGTTTGCTGTCATGAAAAAGGGGGATAAACCTCTTTCGAATAATATTATTCTCGTTCCGCTAGAAAATTTCTACAGGAAAGAGGGGCTGGGGGGGTAGTAGTTTCTTCTAACGACACGCTTGTGCGAGTTCGAGTTGTTCGATGCGATATCACGGAGAGATTAAGATACTATGCATGATTCAATAGGACGAAGTTTGAATTACACGGTAATTTTTTTTTTTTTTATTCGTCTTCTTTCTCCCCCAATATTTTTTCTGACGAAGTTTTTATAAATGTATTTTATTTCAGCTTGTTATCTTTATTTTTATTTTTTCTTTCTAATATTATTTTCAACGAACAATATCTCTCTCTCCTTCTCTCTTTCTCTTTCTCTCAGTCTTTCTTTTTCTTGTTCTCTTTCTATATGTTCATGCATGATTCAATAGAACGATGTTTGAATTACACAGTTATTCTTTTTACCTTTTCTTTCTTTCTTTTTTGATATTTTTTTTTTATCAAGCTCTCACTCTTTCCCTTTTTCTTTACGGTCATGCATGATTCAATAGGACGCAGTTTGAATTACACGGTTGTATTTTTATATTTTTTCTATTTTTCTTTCTCTATCTTTTTCTTCATCATTTTCTTTTATTTTTTATCAAGATTTATTCTTTTATTTTTCTACGAAAGTAATTAGTACAAGTTAATTGTAGAAAACATACCTTGTTAGATAATATTGAATTCTTACATAGGTAGTAGTAACAATCACCACACTGCAAGTAGTAATGGTTGTGGTAGTGATGACGAGTGGTTAGTAGTAGTGCCAATGGAAGAAAAAGTTTTCAACGCACATTTTTTAATTAGATATCTATTAACGTATAATTTATATTTTTTTTTTTGCTTCTTCTCCCATGCCATTATCATCCACGGAAAGGTAATTTTCAGTTACTACGATAATGGATACATTTTCTACGTATATCACGTGCGAGCGTAAAAATTATGATCTTGATAGAATCACCTTACGGTTGGCCGAGTATTCGCGTTGTCGTTTTTTCTTACGATCATTTTCTCTCTCTTTTCTGTTCTCTCTCGTTGTTCTCTATCTTTATTGGTCTCTCTTTATCGGAGATACTATTCGACTCAATTCTACATCGAATCTCTCAGCAAAGTCTCTTCTGTTCTGAACAACCGTCGTTCTCTGACTTTCTCTCTCTCTCTCTCTCTCTCTCTCTGTCTCTTTCTCTTTTACTCTTTCTATCTATCTGTCCATCTGTCTGTCTTTCTCTCTTTCTCATTCGATTTAGTTTCATGGGAATCGAGAGTCGAATCTCGGAGAGGATTCGTTCGCCTTTGATTATCACTTCGAGACACGCTCGGATTAATAACCGGGAACATGGAGGAGGAAGACCATCAATGTTATCGAATCGTATGCGATTTGAAATTATATACCTCAAAGAGATCGAATGCTATTTGCGAACTTTATCTCATGCTACGTGTCACACAATTATAACTGTTCCCGTTTCGGAGAAAATTAGTTTCGATGTTTCATCCTATTTATATCGTGGCTAATTATTTGTTTGTATATGTGTTTGTATRTATGTATATATGTATATAGAAAATTATACACATTACTGTAATATGGTTTTATTCATTAGCTTCGTTTATTTATAACGCTTGTTTTCCATTTCTAGAATTACGTCATTATTTAATAAAAATGCATATTTAGATGAATAAAATTTTATATTTCCTTTGCATATAGGTATGTGTACACATATATACGCATTATTTGTTATTATCTTAATGAAATTATAATTTTACGTTTCCTGATTATTTCTGGTTTACCAATTTATTATTTTATAAATATATTTAATGTTTTTCGTTTACATGCATAATGTATAAACACATATTATAAATTCACACATGTATTCTTTTTTTTTTTCCAAACAATAAATATACTTCTTGAAAATAATTTTTAATTCATTGTCGAGTTCTTTTCATAAATATACAGATAATTTATTTCCACCTCGTTGATCATAATTTTATCAATAAAAAAAAAATAATCGATGTAGAGAGACAAAAAATTTATAATAAAAAAGAAATAAAATAAAATGAATATCTCCTTATCGTCCATTTAACGTTACATATTCTAATCGTGTAAATCAAGAATAATTTACAGCTATCTCGATCTCATCTACAAAATATCATCCTGACTATGTTCATCCTTTAAGAAGAATCAGAGAGCGTCGGAAAGAACGTTAGGTAAAGTTCTTAGGGTAGTTTGCGGTTAGTTGGCGTTATCGCCACAGCCTGTCTTGGATGATTCCGTGTCTACTCGCAGAGGAGGATTTCTTTTTGTCATGAACGTTTTAAGATGGGTTGAGGCGACAGGACGTGTCGGCTTGGATGTTCATTCTTCCTTTCCTTCTTTCTTTCTCACTCTCTTACTCTCTCTGTCTTTTTTTCTCTTTCTTTTTCCGTCTTTCACACACTCGTTGAGATAAAAGCTCTCGAAAATCTCTCAAGCTAGCTTTCCTACGACTTTCTCTCTCTCTTTCACACACACACACACACACACATACACATACACACATACATACATACGCATTTGTAAATACACACAGAGTTGAATACTTCACATAAACATATCCTCCCTTCTTTTTCTATTTTTTTTTTTCACTCTATCTATTTCTCTTTCTGTTTTATTATTTCTTTTCCTTTCTGTTTCTTTCTTTCTCTTTCTATTTTTTTTCGTTCTTTTACTATTTTCATCTCTCTCTGTTTTTTTTTCGCTCTCTTATTATTTCTGACTCTTTCTTTTACTATTTCTGTTTCTTTCTATTTTTCATTCTCTCTCTTTCTCTCTTTTACTTTCTATCTTTTTCTTCCTTTTTTTTACCTCTGTATATTTTGTCCTTTTTCTAACTGTGTAGGTATATTTGTGTCTTTTTCTATTTTAGTTTTGTACCTTAGCTTACCGCCCGTATTCGCTAGAGTCCTCGTCGTGTCGTCGTCAACGTTGGCAGTGGCGTGCCTTTCCAGAAAGCTCTGAAGCCGAACGAACGGACATCCGGAGACGTAATTTCCTGCCCTCCTGGTGTACTACTCTCTCTCTCTCTCTTTCTCTTTCTCTCTGTGTGTTTCCTTCTCTTCTTCTTCTTTACTCCCTCTCATCTTTCTCACGGTAGCTCGACCTCTACCGTTCTCCAACGCTTTGTAGGATACATTCTCTCGGGGTTGCCGACGAAACTTCTCTCGTTTTCCATGCTCTTCGACCCTCATCCTCTCTTCCTCTCTTTCTCTTCCTCTCACTCTCTCACTCTCTATGTGTGCTTTCACTGTACTATCTCGAATTAGAGACGGCCGATGGTC